TTGAACCCTCCTTGCATAAAGGTGGGTCAAAATAGGTTTAACATGTTGCGGGGAGGATTGATTGTCAGGTAATATCTTTTAGCATTAGGTAGTGTTGTTTTTGTCATGTCAAGCTTTATTGATATCCAAAATTGTGATCTTAGTACTCCTCTGTAAAAATAAGTTCCTAGAGACTGTCATATTGAATATTAAAATATATTTAGGCTTGAAATTGAAAAAAATTAACTTGAGTGTGAAATGAAATGAAATAACTCTATAAATCTCATAAAATATTTTGTTTTTAAATTTTAAATAGGTTAACTTGTCAACCCACCATAAAATGAGACATATTGATATTTTCAATTCACTTTTTGGCGGATTGGGCGACCCGACTCTCTTTGACACCTCTATTGCTTTTTACCATTTTTATTATTGCATTGTCAATTGTCCTTGCACTTAGGGCTGTGCATGGGTCAGGTTGGGTCAGGTTTTTGTCCGACTCGACCCAACTTGGTTTTTATAGGTCAGATATTTTGACCCGACCCGCTTTAATTTGATCCAAGTCAGGTCTGACTTGGATTGGATTTTGTTGAACTAGTTCAGAACCAGTTTGGATCTGACCTGACTTGGTTTCTGAAGTGGGTCTGACTTGGTTTCTGAACTGGGTCAAATCTGACCTGACCCGTTTTTGACTTGGTTTTCTCACAAAATTTTGTCGAAATTTTTACGTTGCAAAAAACGAAAATTTCGTCCCAAAATTATTTTTTTTGTCGAAATTTTTACAGAAAAAAAATTTCTATTCAAATTTAGTTTCCGTCAACAGTTTTGACGAAAATGATTTCTTCCATCAAATGTTTTAAACGAAAAAAGAATGTTTTTCGTTCAAAATTTTGATGCGAATGTTTTCTGACGAAAATTTTGACGGAAATTATTTCGAGGGAAATGTTTCATTTGAAACTTTCGACGAAATTTAGTTTCTCTAAAGAATTTTGACAGAATATTTTTTTCGTCAAAATGTTTTTTTTGTCAAAAAAAATTACGAATTTTTTTTATAGAAATGTGTTTCGTTGAAAATTTTGATGGAAATTTTTTATAAAAAACTTGACGAAAATATGTAGTTGAAAATTTTCGATGGAAATGTGTTTCGCTAAAAATTTTGACGAAATTTTTTTTTTGTCAAAAATTTACCGAAAACTTTTTTGTCGAAAACTTTTGCCGAAATTTGAAATCTGTAAAGAATTTTGATGAATTTTTTTGCCGTCAAAATTTTTTGATGAATAAAATGTTTCTGTCGAAAACTTTCGCCAAAATTTGAAATCTTTAAAGAATTTTTATGAAATTTTTTGCCGTCAAAATTTTTTGTTGACGAAAAAATTTCCGTCGAACACTTTCGCCGAAATTTGAAATCTGTAAAGAATTTTGATGAACTTTTTTGCCGTCGCTTTTTTTTGCCGTCAAAATTTTTTGATGACGAAAATGTTTCCGTCGAAACCTTTCGCCAAAATTTGAAATCTGTAAAGAATTTTGATGAAATTTTTTGCCGTCAAAATTTTTTGATGACGAAAATTTTTTCGTCGAAAACTTTCGCCGAAATTTGAAATCTGTAAAGAATTTTAATGAAATTTTTTTCCGTCGAAATTTTTTGATGGAAATGTGTTTCGTCGAAATTTTCAATGGAAATTGTTGAGGAAAATGTTTCATTTGAAACTTTCGACGAAATTTAGATTCTCTAAAAAATTTAGACAAAATATTTTTTCTGTCAAAATTTGTTATCGAAATATTTTTGTCAAATAATTTTACGAATGTTTTTTACAGAAATGTGTTCCGTTGAAAATTTTGATGGATATATTCTTTATCAAAAAACTTGACGAAAATATTTAGTCGAAAATTTTTGATAGAAATGTGTTTCGCTAAAAATTTCAACGAAATTTTTTTTGTCAAGAAGTTTAACGAAAATATTTCCGTCGAAAACTTTTGCCGAAATTTGAAATCAGTAAAGAATTTTGATGAAATTTTTTTCCGTCAAAGAATTTCGATGAAAATGTGTTTCGTCAAAAGTTTTTATGAATATATTTTTTTGTGAAATATTTTGAGGAAATTTAGATTCCGTAAAAAAATTTGACAAAAAAAATATTCCGTCAAATTTTTTTACCGATATGTTTTTAGTCACAAATTTTTATGAAAATATTTTCCATAAAAAAAAATTGACGTAATTGTTTTACGTTAAAACTTTTCATTTAATATAATTGTGATTTTTTTTTCACATAATGGGCTGACCAGTTTTGGGTCAGTGAGTCAATATTAAAACGAGTCAGGTCTAAAACTGACCCAAATAAAAGTGGGTCAGTATTTAAACCAGTTCAAAAAATATGGGTATTTATGGGTCGGGTCAAGGTCGGATCAAGGACAGGGCAAGTGAACCAGTTTTTTTGCACACCCCTACTTGCACTCATACACTAAAAAAATTGAAGTCTAAAATGAGTTGAACTCCATAGGTCGGTCTAATTGACCTAGAATAAAGTGCGGGTTGGATTATGAAAATTTAAACTTGACCACATTTTTATAATTTAATTAAAAAATTAGATTGCCTATAATGAGCTGGGTTAGCCTGTTAGCCCAGAGTTATTTTTAAAATATTTTTGTTTTTTATACCTGTTATGGTTTAAATTTAAAATGTTAGAAGACAATTAGTTATTATCACACTAAGTTATTGGTGTCTAATTTGAGTGTTTGTTCTAAATATTTTATAGACATTTATCATTATTTAATGTGTAAATTTTAAAAAATGTAAGGTATGTCAATAATTGACAATTTAATTTAAACCACAAATTGAATTATGTCGCGCATTTCTTTCGCTCTTCCATCTAGGTGTTGTCCTCTATTTTTTTTTTTGTTATGGGGAAGGGTATAGCCCCAAAAGTAGATTACAAAGTAGGATTCAAAATAGACATAACACTATTCCTATCTTCTTCCAGCATCTCTAGTAAACGCTGAGGAGGGTCCTGATAGATATTGATCATATTACAAGCCCGAGGAGAGTACTTCGCTAGCCAATGAGCGCAAAAATCACTATCTATACAAATGTGATTGAAGCGTATCGTCCAATCTTGTGCCAACCATTTTCAGATTTTTTTGACTACCCTTGAGTTCCTGGGATCTTTATGTCTGTCTTGTAGTAAATTGATGGCAATAGTGGAATCACTCTCGATCACCAACTTCTTTATCCCCGTACCCCATAACACTTCAAGTCCCTTTAAAATACCCCAAAGTTTAGCATCTAGTGGGTTGCAATATCCAATACTATAGTTGAATCCTCCTGTGAACATGCGGTTATAATCTCTCAAAATACCTCCACAGGTTGCTTGGTTCCTAAAACTGAATGAAGCTCCATCTGTATTGAGCTTAAATCGTCCCTCTTCTGGAGGAATCCAATTTCGTAAGGTGTTGTCCTACTTTTGGTTTGCTCGTGTCCAATGCTACTTTATTTGAACACATACCAAAATTTTACTTATTGTGAAATTAAATATATATATATATATATATATATATATATATATATATAAATAGGGAAAAATACTTCTCCTGTAGTTGGAGAAGTATTCTTCTCATGACACTTACTCAAACAAATTTTTGATTTTTTATATAAAAAGGTGGGCCCCACCATATTTTTATGTCTGTTGGAGATACCCAATGCTTCCAATTGCATAAGAGGTTGTTTGAAGCCCATATATATTTGTTTAGCTTGCTACTTTACAAAGGCTAAATTGAAATTAATTTTTTTTCTTTGCTTATGCAAAATGTAAGATATATTACTTGTTTAATTTTTTTAATAAATTATTTATGAATTTAATATGAGTGAAACACGTATGGCGAGTATGCGCATTTGAGTCACGAATTACCCCATACATAATTTATGCAAAAATCAAAACGCGTTTGCCACATATTACACTTTGCAAGATACGCATAGGTGTGTGCATAACTTAAAAGCATGCTATCACAGTAGGTATATTGCATTGCCTTGATTTTTGCACAAATCATGTGTGAGGGTGATACACGACTTAAATGAATACATTCCTTACATATATTTTACTTAGATTAAATTGATAATAATTTATCAAAAAATTAAACCGATGAAATATGTGAAAAATATTTGTCATTTTAAATGACATAAAATTATGTCATTTTAAGAGAGAGATAGACACAAAATAATTTTTTTTGTTTAAAATTTAAATTAAAAAAATCACCCACTTTCTCCCCCATAAATTCCATTTCTAGTATCTATCTCTCTCCGGGATTGACATAACTTTCATTTAAAATGACAAATAACAAACCCATAAAATATTTATATTTTTTATGAAAAAGATAGAAAAAATCCGACTTAGCAAATTATCATCATGCCAGAGCCAAGAAAATTAAGCCGATGCAACCCAATCTTGATTTTGAAATAAGCAAAACCTGGGAATACTAAGGCTTGTTTGGATGAGTTTTTTTTTCCCTTCAAAAGCTGCTTTTTTTCAAGAAAAAAACACTTCTTGTTTTTAGTTTGTTTGAATGTCTGCTTTTAAAAAAAAAAAAAGTCACAAAAAAGTTAAAAATCTACTTTTTTTTTTTAAAAGCTAAAAATTTTAACTTCTAAAAAAAAAGAAGTGAAAAGCCAAATATTTTTTTTAAAAACTATATATTTTTATAAAAATATAAATAGTTGTAACTTTTATAAAAAATATTTTTAAAATAAAAAAGAAATAAAAGTTACTTTTTTTTAGAAGTTTAAATAAACGGGCTCTGATATGACTTTCAATCTTTCATCAGTTCAATCACATCATCAGGGTGGGGTATGATATGACCTTACCATGGTCGATCGCCACCTCTAATTTCAAATATAAAAATTAAGGGTCTATCTATTGTAATCTTAAGAAATAAAATAAAATAAAAATTATATAAGGTCCAAGGTGGCTATTCTGAATTCGCAGTTAAGGCCCAAGCATACAAACTTTATTCATACTTTATTATGTTTTATCGTCTCAAATCAATTCAACACAACTCGGAAAACTTTTCTACTTGTACTCTTTTCTCTTTCGCTTTCTCGCTCCGATTTAGGGCGCGAGAACTCAGGTCTTCGACTCATAACCTTATCGCTGATCTCTGTTCTTCAGGTACTCTCTCCCTCCTTTCTTCTCTTCGCGCTCGTTGATCCCCACTTCATCCTCAACTTCGATCCACTTTGGTCATTTCCTTCATTCAGTTCCTCGTTCCGCATCACTGCTTGAGGTTCTCCTCACTGATATAATTTCATCACTCTGTGCTTCTGCACTTGAATTTTAGTGTGTTTGTTTAGTTTAATTTTAAATTCCGAACGAAATGAGGACTATTAAATTGAATGTTTGATCAATTTGTATTTAAATGTTTGAATTAGTGGTTAATGGCTTGGGATAGTACATAGGGAGTTTGGTTTCTGATCGATCCGGGAGGATCGGGAATGTACAACCGCTGGTTGGTATTTGTAGGTAGGATCAGTACGCTTGTGTTTGTACGTAGGATTAGCACGCTCATGGATGTGAGATCACTGCTTGAGGTTCTCCTCACAAATAATAACGCCATAGCCAGACAGAGAGTGGAATTTGTGTACCTCTAATCCTTTATTTATAGTGGGTTACCTGTAAGTGTAGAATCCTGATCTGAGTGGTACTGTTAGGAAGGATAAGATAAGTAGCTTATCTTTTATCTTCTATTGATAGGATAGTAGGCTTATCATTAAATTGGGTCCAGAACAGTTTCAGATTAGAAATCTCTTGAATCTTGTATTAATTAACTCTGCATTTGTTTAAACCTTTGAGTTATTATTTTAGTGAGGCTAACAGTTTATATTTCCTTGCTCTTGATTTATCGTGATACCATCCACATCCATCATTCCTGCGCAATCTGTTTCAACTATATTTTCTTCTTTGTGATTACTTTTTTTCTTTTTCTTTTCGTGCTACACATTTTACAACTTGCAAGTTATTTAAAATATTGCGTCAACTCGAGTTTCCACATCGTTCGACCAGCTTCAAGGTGGTCATACTGCATTCTTCTTTTATCCAAAAAAATGGGGCCAATAAAACATATTCTTATATTTGAGAACCTAAAATCTAAAGCTAAGTAGATAATAAAATTTACTGTGAGTCTGAACTGTGATGCGTAATTTGTTATGGAGTTGGATGCTTACAAATTAGAACTGAGTGTATTGCATCTGATGTTTTTTTCGACATTCTATCCTACTCAGGTTGTTGATTGTTTGCGTGGACCGACTCTTCAGATTGTTCACACTTCTGTCCACACTGAATACAAGGGAGGGCTGTTTTTCAGCACTGGGATGACTTTTGGCGTGACCTTTTGAAATTCATGCGATGTCGGGCTTACTTAATGTAATCCCTTAGTCCTGTAAAGCCAGAGACTTTTTCAATAGTTTTTCTGGCCCTTTGCTCAGTTTGCACTGTCATGACTACCAAATAATTCGTTACTTTTTATTCTTACTAGATTGAAGTAAATGGCCCAGACTGGGATGTGTATGACTTTTTCCTCAATTTTTTAGTTTGAATATTTTCATCACATTCAAGTTAATCTCCTCATCATATCTGATCACTGATCTTCGGTACACGATGTTATATATCCGTGCATGGTGGCATGGTTGGAATTCTCTAGGGAATTACAGAGTATCATTTGGCTGAAATATGCTTTTAAACATCAGTATGTTGTGTTATAGGATTATTGTATTTTATGTTAATGTGTATGCTGGTCGTTAGAATGTTTCATGAACAATTTGATAAATCAGAATTTGGAGATTTAAGATATGTATGAGGAGCTGTCCAAAGGGAAAGTAGCATCAATTCAAATATTAGCTTATGTAATGAGAGCAGAACATGAGTGATGTAGAGCGATAAACTTAGTACTCTTCTAGGGCAGAGTACTCCTTAGACTAGGACAATAAACCTAGAGCACTTCTCTAGGACAGAGTTTTGCTCTGACTAGGATTTCATATGCTCAATGAGGAAAGGGGAATTTCAACAGTATTATTATGCAAAATGTCTGAATAAAATATGGCACCTAAAGGATATTTATAACCCACAGATTATAAAAATCCTAGATAAATTCTAATTAAATATAAAATTCTAATAACATGAATTTCCTAAAATATAATATCCAAATCCAATCAAAATAGGAAATCTTAACATGGGGCTGACCCTGTACTGGATCCTGTGCATGGTGAGAGCTCTATAGCAGCGACCTACCTATTTCAAGAAGGGGAACCTTGGGCACAACGGTTGGTGTTGTTGCCATGTGACTCGGAGGTCACAAGCTCAATTCATGTAATTAGCTCCTTGCAAATGTAAGGTAAGATTGTGTACCATAGACCCCGTAATAAGTCTGAACGTTTCTGGACCATGCGCATAGCTTGAGTTTTAGAACACAGGGCCGTCCTTATATAGCTTATGATAAAATCTATAAAAATAATGAAGGATCTCTTAAATTATCAGAAATTTTAAAGTTTCTAAGAATAACATAATAATCACTAAATAACACAATAATCCTTAAATATGCTTCTCCATTTTGCATCAAGGAGTGATTAGATTCTCCATTTTGTCCACAACGGAAGAAAAGGACAACTGATGCTCACATTAAATTTGTTTTTTAATTATCTTATATATTTTAGGGACTGACATTGATTGCCAATCAACTTTATGTTTGCTTAATTATCTTACAATTTATGCTTGCTATTTATTAGCAGTTGTATAAATTCATTATATTTGCTTATACTGTATATAACAAGTCCTTGAGAGGTCTTAGTATAAGTGATATATGTAACAAGATTGGTACAAATGATGTATATTGTCTTGCTTGAGGGCGAGTGTTGGAAATTATGTAAATAGTGTTTAGATTTATTATATAGGCTGACCAAATCATGTAATTACTGTAATTAGGACATCTGTAATCTGTAAAGGTGTTGTTGATGTTGATGTATTTTTGTCTATATAATCCATTCTCTGGTGAATAGTTCAACGCATGGATTTCAAGATATGTCTCTAGTTTTCTCTTCCCTTATTGATTTCCGCTTTTGGCATGTTCCTATCATTGATGTAAATTGTAACAGACTTCTGATTGCAGTCTTCTTTAAGCGGATCTGCATCAAATCTTCCAGAGGGTGCCGGACGGTCTTTTTCTACATCGTTCTCTGGTCAGTCTGGTGTAGCCACGCCAGTTTTTCATCACACTGGTGGGCAAATTTTGCTGGAGTTGATCTTTTTTCTTCTCTCCTCTAGTTGTATAATTGCTAGGTTCTTGCTGCAGGAGCTATTCAGGGGTTGCACAATATTCATGGGAGCTTTAATGTCCCCAACATGCCCAGTACACTTACATCAAGAAACTCAACAATAAATAACGTTCCAACTGGGGGGGTTCAGCAACCTACGGCAAGCCTTTCTAGTGGAAGATTTGCATCAAATAATCTACCTGTTGCTCTGTCACAGGTATATGTGAATGCATTTTTGTTTGAACATCTTGAGAGTAATAGTTGAAAATATGAGCCTGCTTAACTGTTTTGTCTGTAATTTTGTTCTATATTGCATAATTTCAAATATTTTCATCTGTCTGGACATCAATGATATTTCCAGCTATCTCATGGAAGCTCTCACGGACATTCAGGAGTCAACAGTAGAGGAGGTATAAGTGTTGTAGGAAATCCTGGGTTTAGTAGTAGCACAAATAATGGAGTTTCCGGTTCTATTCCTGGAATTTTTTCAACTTCTGCATTTGATAACCGAAATTCTGTTCCAGGCTTGGGAGTATCCCCAATTTTGGGAAATGCAGGTTCTCGAATCACAAGTTCCATGGGAAACATGGTTGGTGGGGGGAACATTGGGAGGATAAGCTCTGGTGGATTGTCTATTCCTGGTCTTGCTTCTCGTCTAAATTTAATTGGAAACAATGGATCTGGTGGTTTAGGTGTGCAAGGACAGAATCGATTGATGAGTGGTGTGCTTCCACAAGGTATGTATTTTGGTAATCGCTAGTGCATTGTAGTGGTGTGAAAGTAATCTTTCCTCCTTAGAATTATCGGATTATGTTGGGGTTATCTTCATCTGTTTTAGTTGAGATTTCTTTCAAAAGGTTTAGAATTAGATATTATTGATAAACTTTTTTTTATCCTGGGAAATTTTTTACCACACTCCTTTTTAAGGATGAATTTTTCATATCTTACTAATTTGATTATATCTTATATGCATTTTCTTAGTATCTACTGCGTAGCATTTGATGACTAGTTGTTTGAGTGCCTAGAAATTAGTCACTTGCAATATTCGCTGGTCAACATAATATTGTTTCTTCAGCTGTGATCCTTGGACACACCTTTCTTAAATTATCTTCATTTGAGGTTTATATTGCTTGATATATGTTTTGTAATGAGGATTAGTATTTTTTTCAAATTCTCCTGTTTGTTTTATGGGGGGAACATTGGGATATCGAATTACATTAATCTAAAGTTATTCCTTTGTGACTGAAAAGTCATGGGTTTAAATCCGGAAACAGCCTCTTCGTAAATATGCAAGGGTAAGGCTGTGTACAAGGATTGCACTCACCCCTACCCTTGCTATTCGGGGTTTAATAGGGAGTGGAGTCGTATAATGATTGTTAAATTTTTATTTCTTCTCCTGTATTATTGAAAGTAGACTACAGTGTTGTCATTGGTCTATCAAGGCAGGCCTAGAACTGCTATGGTGTGAAGGTGTATGTCATAATGACCATTATGAAGCAAAGTGATCACTAAACAAAAGAAACCCATAATTTCAGAAGAAACTAAGAGTATAAGACGGGGTAAGTGTCATAATGCCATGATTTTCATCGCTGCTCTGCACATGGCATGTGTCATATTGCTGCTATGTCGAAGACACTATTTCATGGATTGCCACACCATTCTGCCATGGTGCGGCCATTGACAACACTGGTGGACTATTGTCCTCAACAAGAGAGAGAAGTATGCTATTGGTTTAACTTTTTTACCCATGTTAATATGGGTTTTGATCGTGAGTAATCTTTCTGTTTGCATTCTTTCTGTTTGCATTCGCTATTGCTTGTCTACCTACTTTGAATTTGTTGTCTCTTTAATGTCACTGTTCTATATCCTTTATTCACCAAATGATATAAATTTATTTCTTGCTGTGTTGTTTGAAAGTTATATGTTTGTCTGTTACTAAAGTTGCAAAATGTGCTAGAAAGAACAGATGCTTTTTTTTAGATTTATATAAAATGTTTGATTGAATCAGTTATTTGTTTGATGGATTTCAAATTCCAAATTTTTTCTTTAATATTGAGTTGATTTGATATATAGATTAAATAAGCTACTTTGTGTTGACAACCACCTTTTCATTCAGGATCTCCGCAGGTAATTTCAATGCTAGGAAATACTTATCCTAGTGCTGGAGGACCACTTTCTCAAAGCCATGTTCAAGCAGTAAATAACTTGAACTCTTTGGGGATGTTGAATGATGTGAATTCCTGTGATAGTTCACCTTTTGACATCAATGACTTCCCTCAACTGACAAGTAGACCTAGTTCTGCTGGTGGGCCTCAAGGACAGCTGGGTATGTGAAGGAAAATGTTGTTTTGCTCGATATATTCTTCACCTTCTACAAGAAAGAATAATGAAACTATAAATTTCAGGTTCTGTAAGGAAACAGGGTCTTGGAGTTAGTCCCATTGTCCAGCAAAACCAAGAGTTTAGTATTCAAAATGAAGATTTCCCAGCTTTACCAGGATTCAAAGGTGTTTATTTGTTTGGCTAATATATATGAGCTAATTGGTTATACATTTCTTGTTTGAAAATTTAGCAGATCAAAGAGCATAGAATGAAATTTATGCTCCCTCTTCTGGAAGGGCTTCTGGATGTTTACGTGTACATTTATTTTTTGTGCTTAGCTTCATTAGGTTTTTTGCATGTACTTCTTAACTTTGAACAGTATGCATCAGTGTTTTGCTCACATAGGTATAAGGGCTCGTTGCTTTTGTGTTTTGCATATTTCTATGCAACCTGTCATACATTTAGCGAGGATGTGTTGTTGGTTGCTATAGCTGTGTAGAGGAATTAACGGTTTCTTAAGTTTGCACTGATAAATCTTTGATGACTTGCTGGGAATCACATCATTAGTAGTTGTCTGTATCTGATGACATTCTAATTATTTGTGGTCAACTTTACTCACATAACTGAGAACTCTAATTGAGTGGAGGGTAGTCGGTCAGCTTTGGCATTTGTTTTTGACCGTGGTATTTGTACACAGGGGGTAATGCAGATTTTGCTATGGATATGCACCAGAGAGAACAACTTCATGACAATACTGTGTCAATGGTGCAGTCTCAGCATTTCCCCGTAAGTTTCCTGTTGTAAAAGATTAAGATATCTTTTTACATATCCATGTTTATAATATTAAGGGATCAAAATCTGATCTCAATCTTATTTGCCTTCAATCAGCAGATGGGGAGGTCCGCTGGTTTTAGTTTGGGGGGATCATATTCATCGTATCGGACCCAGCAGCAGCCGCAGCATGCTCCTTCAGTCAGTAGCAGTGGCGTCTCCTTTTCATCTGTAAACAATCAAGATCTGCTCCATATGCCTGGGTCGGACATTTTTTCATCTGCACACTCAACGTATCATTCACAGGTCTGCAAGTTTTCTACTTCGGCAAATGAGGGACTTGCTTTTGTATGAGAATGCTTCTGTTTAATTTTAACTTGTCTTGCAATATGAAATTTTAACTCACCAAAGCAAGTTCCTCACATTCTAATTACTTGTGGTTTTTGGTTTAGACCAGTGGACCTCCTGGCATTGGATTAAGGCCTCTAAATTCTCCAAATACGGTTTCTGGTATGGGTTCATATGACCAACTCATCCAGCAGTATCAACAACACCAGAACCAGTCCCAGTTTCGCCTTCAGCAAATGTCATCTATAAATCAGTCTTTTAGGGACCAGGGCATGAAGTCTATGCAAACTGCACAATCTAGTCCAGATCCATTTGGTTTGCTTGGCTTGTTAAGTGTTATCAGGATGAGTGATCCTGACCTGACATCTCTTGCTCTTGGAATTGATCTTACAACACTCGGATTAAATTTGAATTCATCAGAAAATCTTCACAAGACTTTTGGATCTCCATGGTCTGATGAACCAGCTAAGGGTGATCCAGAGTTCAGTGTGCTACAATGTTATTATGCTGAAAAGCCTCCTACCCTACATGTGAGATGTTCTTTATTTGGCTTTATCCTTTCATTGCCTTTATTTTCTTGCGATTTTATTTGGGCTAAGTCTTTTTGCATGATGCAGCAGGGTTATTTTTCAAAGTTTGCCGTGGAAACTTTGTTTTACATATTTTACAGGTGCTTTTCGAAAACAGATCTTATTCACTTTCACATTAACTTGCTTCGTATTCTAATAAAGTTTAAAATTGATCTTTTATTGGGTATTCTAATAAAGTTCAAAATTGATCTTTTATTGCAGCATGCCCAAAGATGAAGCACAACTGTATGCTGCAAATGAACTGTATGCATTCGCTCCCATGCACAGTGTTGCTTTTGGATGATTTGGTCTTATTTCCGAATTATATTTGGATTATTACAGTTCATGAAATCTTGGCAAAAATATTTTTCAATTTGGGAATAATTAACTGGATGAGTGGTTTATTTTTAGATTACAATATGGTTATAATACATCAACCACTCTATGAAAAGGGCTAACCATTCATGGACCAAATTATTCTTGATTAAGAAATATTATGTCAGGAATTTTTAAATTGTGATGCTCTCCTTTTTTGTTTGTTTTGTCAATGCAATAGTCACTAACAGTATAGAGTTGTTGCTCTCAGTTACAAACGAGGCTGGTTTTATCACAAAGAATATCGTTTGTGGTTTGCAAGAGTTGCCAACATGGAGCCGCTTGTCAAAACAAACACATACGAGAGGGGGTCTTACCACTGTTTTGATCCGAGCACTTTCGAAACGGTCCGGAAGGTTAGTTCTTGTGAAAATCTACTGTATGAGAGTGTAAACAAGCACGGAGAAAGAAAGTTATGTTATTTTTCTTCTTTTTTCCCGGAATAATTATCACATTCGGGCATCTAACGGACAACCTCCATGCAGGATAATTTCGTTCTTCATTATGAAATGGTGGAAAAGAGACCGCCTCTGCCTCAACATTGAGGAGGAAAGAAGAACTTCAATGTATAGCTCTATTTATGGATTTAATTTTGTTAGGACGCAAGTCATTTTGCAGCATTAGTGTCCCTTCAATCTGGCGTTGCTATTACATTCTCTTAAATCCTGCTGCACTGAGAGCTGCTATCTTTTTTCATTCGGGCCCTAATATGGATTATAGTTAAAATAATAGACTTGACTTTAGGATAACCTAGCGGTCTGGCAGATATGGATGTCTGCCCGGTGCATAGAGAAATACACCTGAATCAATTAGATGTGATGTCTAGTAGTTGCTCTTGACTGTACACAAATTTTTAGTTATCTTAATCTGTTCTGTAAAGGAATATGGCCCGCAAATGAGAAAAAGAGGATTAGCTTCTAACGTATTTCATGCCTATAATTCGTATTGACACAGGTACTGTAAAAAAATTATTGCAATAGCGCTGTCAAAATTATATTTAGAAACGAATTAAAGGAACAGTTGAGTGCCGGAAGACGGTGGAACATGAGTCTCCAACTATGGCAGTGCATGCCTTTTATATAGTCATTCATATTAGGCTATCATCTAAATCGGTTCTGTACAGAACATGATAGCTGCAGATATATTTTATATGATCACCTGATGAGTAATGAGCAGAATGATTCAGCAAACTGCTGAACTTTTTCGTCAGCATACTTGATATATGCCTGGCATTTTTTTTTCTTTTAATTCTTTTTGGGTTCTTGTTAAAGATACCAGCTGAAAGAACAGGAGCCCATTATTATTTATTAGCATATTCTTGCAAACCAACCCAGGGGCATGAATGTGAGCTGATGTCTATATGATACCAAAGGTCATACCTTCATAAAGCGGCGGCTCAACAAATAAAGATCCCCAAGCTTTCGTAGACTGCAGCGAAGATGAAGCGTGTAAACGTAATTCAATAGTTCTGAGCATATAAATGTACCAGGTGGTTGAATACAACTTAAAGAGTCAATTGAACAGATCGACATAGACAGAGGGACAACACTTTCGATGCGTCTTGAATTGTAAAAGACTAGGGCAGCGGTAAGGAAAGTGATTATGAGCAATTTTAAAGGAAAGCCCACCTTCACCCTCCTCAAAAATAGTGGTGAATATTATTAAAACATGTTTATAGTCTCGTTTGATTGTTTAATTTCGCTAAGCTATCCGCAATAGCAGCATTCAACATCTCAATCATAGATAGGTGAACAAATGTTGCAGTAATTGCTGTAAATATAAAACATGTTACAGAATAATATAAACCATTAAAAAGATCCTCATCCAATAACTTAAACTTGTGAGTTGAATTTGTTCTTTACTTGGTATCAGAGCTACAATGATTACAATGTTACGAGTTCGATCCATTTGTGGAATTAAGTGAGCACAAGATAAACAAAAAACTGAACTTGTGTAATATCTACTCTTTAAAAAAGTCTCTATACAAGCTTTTGGGTTGAATTGGTTATTTATAAAACACGCCCTAATTTCATATGCTCCTAAGTCCTAACTAAACGCGATAATATATATGGAGGTGATGTAGTCCTTGCCAGTTGCCGGAGATGGTCGAATTGGATGATTTGGACTGATTCAACTATGCTTTGTTTCGATAGTCGGATGCTCCACTTCGCTTGCAAGTTTATTTATTTTTGGTGAAGGAGACTATTTACTATTATGATCTATCAAGCACATTATAAACATTAGCCATTTCTTGATATATACATTTGGAAGTTCAACTTTGGTTGGATATAGTTCCATCAGGCCAGATGCTATAAATTCAGGAGAATAAAAAGGGTAAGAAACTTCTAAATCGCATACATTTTCTTAAACTCATTGTTTAGTAGCTCAGAATCTGAAAAAGCCGACACTGAAAAAGACTTTGACCTGCTTTCCATTGAAGATTTCCGAATGTTCCTCAAATTTGAGGCCTCAATGCGATGCCTAACGACCCAGTAACACATTATTCCCAAGGTTGTAGCCATTATGGTTGTCCCTATAATGGTAACTGCAATTGCCAGCCACTTCTCTTCCTTTCCCACCACAACAAATGACAATGCCAAGAAGGCCACCGAAACAAGTACACAAGCAAGCCACATTAGCTTGTTAATGATAGCCATCATCTGCTTCTTTGCTTTGCTTTCTATAACCACAACCGAGGTTTGCACCACCACCACCGCCAGAGAAATGAAGAGGGCAATGGAATCAAAGACAAAGAAAATGATAAATGGAACTTGTGGGCTTATATTTGCTTCACCAAGGGACATCCCTGGAGGAATATCTTTTGGGTCATCAACAAATTGGCCAGGGACTGTGAAAATAGCAGCAAAGGCAACAGTGGCAATCAGGACTGCCACCACTGTTGTGGAGTTTATTGCATTGTTGAGTCCTTCAGCATGCATTTTGTTGATACGTTTGGCAATTCCTTGAACACGTTTTCTGGTTTGACGAGTGTGTTCCAACTGGTAATGGACTTCATGTTTTATGTCACTTACAGTTTGTTTCAATTCACGAGCTGTAGCTGTTGTGCCCTGTGGCTTTATGGCTTTGGCACTCTGAACACCGTGTTCCAGCAGAATGGCTTTAACATCATGGTTCCCGGTTTTCTCAGCAGTGTCTAGTGCAGTTTCTCCAGATCTATTAACAGCACTTGTATCTGTTTCCTTCTGTCCAAGAAGCAACTTTGCAATCTGCACAAACAAATTAAGATATTAACAAACATTTGTATCCGTTTCCTTCTGTCCATGAGAACTAGAGCTCAGGCTCAGGTAACCAATATCTGTACTTGGATGAAGAAGTTATCATTATCATGTAGAAATATTCAAATCTGAAGTAATGTACAAATTGGCTCTTAGTTTTTTTCTATGTAGAGCATCATACGTCATAGAATTCTAACGTAAATCATAGAAAAGAAAAGGATGGTGGTCTAAATCACAATCCACTTGTCATCACAACACAACATTACAAATGAAGTTTATGAGTAAATTTACCTGAACCCTGCCCTTCCTGGTTGCTATATGCAATGCTGAGTTTCCCTTATTATCAACCATGTTTATTGATGCAGGAGCTGCTTTTATCAACTCTTCCACCACCTCAAGGTTCTGTCCCTTCACTGCCATGTGAAGTGCTGTCTGACCCTTCTTATCAATCCGTATTGCAACCCCAGGCTCTTTCTCAAGAAGTTCTTTCACAACCTCCAAATGTCCATTTCTTGCAGCAGAATGCAGAGCTGTTTTCCCATTACTTCTAGCAATGGTTGCCAGGCTACTTCCTGCTTCCAATAGGAATTTCACTATCTCAATATGCCCTTGTGTTGCAGCTGTATGCAAAGCTGTGGTGTTGGATGGATCCACAGTCATTGACAATTCAGGATGAGCCTCCATAAGGATCTTCAGTATATCTGCAACAAAAAAAACAAAAAAAGAACTGAGATTCCCTCCGAAAATCACATGGTACAAACTACAAAGAAAACAAGCAGATACACCACATTGAAGATATACCTAAATCCCCTTGTTTGGCAGCAATGTGAAATGCATCAAAACCATTTCTTGCTTTAATTCCAGCATCGGCAAGATCATAATATTGAATCATCTCCCTGACCACATCAATATAACCATAGTCAGCAGCAACATAAAGAGCTGTTTCTCCATCTTGATTCTGTCTGGCCAATAATTCAATCAGTTCATCCTCTTCAATACTGGTAAGGGCATCCTTCAACGCAGCCAGATTCCCGGCTCTTGCTGCAGAATGCAAAGGGGTATCATCCCTTTTCCCGGTCAATTGTTTTGTCATTTTTTTCCTAGGTGTGCTTACTGCCGCAGCTTGTAGCTGCACCGCTGGTGTTGCCATATTGGTTTCACCTACCTTAAAAATTCCCCCTCTTTTGATACTAATTAGTATATATCAGAACCCTCTTTTCTTCCTTCCACCAAAATCCCAGATCAATGCTAGCATTTTTCTTACCACATATCTCCTTGAAACAACTCAAATATATCACAATATCCCCCGTTAGTTCTTATCTCTCATTTCTTTCACATATTCTTGAAACTCCTGCCTGTGTCTGGTCACCAAAAAAAAAAAAAAAAAAAAAAGGGGTTAAAACCATTGCACCTAGATATATTTTTTTATTGCATTATCATTGTCTCTTAAAAGAGAAGAGAATAATAATAAAAAAAGTTTATAAAGAAGCAAGCAGAATTTGGAAAAGGACAAAAAAGCAATTGAAGCTAGGTCCAAGTGTTCCTTGAATCATTATGTGAAAACAAAAAGGGCATGGAAGGCATAAAGGAAAGAAACAAGCTTGAAGATGAATTTGACCTGGGGTTGAAGAAATAACCTCAACCCTTTTGTCATCCTCCACCATGAAAGCCATAAATAACAGATATTAGAGGGAAGTTTTCAGGAAGCCATGGGTTTGGCAGCACACCCTGTGATGAACATTGAGGATATTTATATATAAGGTGTGCAAAAGCAATATGAGAAACTCAGAAAGTCAAAATTTTAAGAGAAAGGAGTAACAAAGATATTATTAGGACAAACAAGGATTAAGAAATATAACACATGAAAGGCACATGTCAGAAACAACTTTATGTCAATCTAAATCAGAGGCAGAGCCTCATACACGCACCAACCTCACCAATAATGGAGCAACTTTTGCAAAGGTTAAAATGTGATTGAGAATCAAATATAGGGAGCAAAGGAACAGAAGAGAGGCAAAACCTGCAGGGGTGGCCAATTAAGAAAAAAACGGAAATAACAGAACCACGCGCAATTGGGTTTCTAATGGCGCGAGTGAAGATTCCATGGATTAACTCGATTTTTTTTTTTTTTTTTTACCTTCATATTTCCGGTGTAATGCTTGCAATGTAATTAAACAGAATTAGTCTTATAATTTGTTTGATTAAAAATACACAAGCTCCGAATTATTATCATTTTGTACAACAAACTAGTTTAGTAGTTTTCTTGATATTCCTCTTAAGTATAGGCGAGTCTCGTATTTATATTTTTCTCTTTTTAGAAAAAGGAAAATTATTTCATACGTCATAAGTTATGAAGAAAACTTAGAATGATAACGAAATCCAAAGACCATTTTATCAATGTGCGCGTACACACACTAATGCGAATTGCAATATCTGAATGGAAATATTTGTTTTTTTTTTTAATATATGTGGCAATAACTAAATTAACCTACTCAATGAACTTTAAAAGACTCTGAGCCTAATCAATGAACTTTAATAGGCCTACTTTCATTTTTTTTGCATAACCACGTCTATATTTAGTGTTTTATTAGTCTCTTTTCATATAGGATAGTTATCTTATGTCGTAGAGAGAGAATAAATGAGTCTCACCATTACAAAAAAAAGAAAAAAAAATGTGGGATACGAAAATCGAAGTGAGAGAACATGAGATAAATTATATTATGTGAAAGAAGAGTAATATTTTCCCTATATTTATTACAAAACAAGGAAAAACTTTTGGGTGACCGTTCTTACTGGTAATATAAGTACAGTAGTCACATCAACATGAACTAGTCCCAATTTTATTATGCATAATTGACTAATTGTTGCTCCACCAGATGTAATTAACTCTTTGGCCATTAACCAACCTTTTTAGGTTGGGGCAATGTGTCTTTAATTGGGATTGAAAATGACATAAGTTTTCGATAATCGTTGGGCTAGTCCATTCCTTGGGGTTGATCTTGTTAATTTATGATCCTCACAAAGGCCATTGATCGAGTTATTATTAAGGGAAAACATTTTCTCCTTTTAAAAGAGATTTTTTTTTTCTATCAGTAACTCATAATATAAGTGAGGTTCACAAAATAATGAAAAGAAAAGAAAAATTCAAGATGAAACTCACTTATGCTATGAGTCACTTGTAGGAAAAAAAATTTCTCTTTTAAAAGAATAAAATATTTTCCATATTACTAATTGTCAACTTTTGTCGTGAGGAAGTTTCTAGTGGACTTTATGTAATTGCAAGATATCTAGGAACTGAATTTGATTAGTGCTTCAATATCAAAGAACCTCCCTTGTAAGTGCAGCCAGCATCTCCTCTTAGCTGATAGGATTTGTGTGGCTTTTGTGAGATAGTTTCTTTTCTTTTTCATTTTTCTATCATCCAATGTAACAAAAAGGAAAAATTATAGATAAACATTAATTGTCGTCCTTAAATTTATTCAAATTTTTAAGAAGTTCATTTTTTTTTGGTGAGGAAGAAGTTCATTTTAATTTACCTCTAAAACTACTGGTTAAAGCTATATTCTTAATTTTAACGTTTTATTTTTATTTTATTTAAGTGAGTTATTGAATCCAAGTGCATCAACGATAAAAAATAAATATAGAAATCGAAAATGAATTCTCTTAATGTTTTATTTAATATGACCATACCATGTGAGATGATCTTAACCATCAATAATCTAATCAACAGTGATAATTGTGTAATATTTTGTCTTTATATTTTTTTCTCTCTTTTCTTATCACCATTGATCCATTCTTATATAGTTAGATATGATATGGTTATGTTAATTAATACCGGAGAAGATTGACTCCCATAAAAATAAGTATAAAAATAATCTGGCCCAACAAATCATGTTTTGTTAAATTTGCTATCTTTTCTCTTTGCCATATTGGGCACATTTGACTTATTGTTTAGAATTTTTTGAATTATAATGTTTTCTTTGTTGAAATTTTAATGAGAGTCGCTCTTAGTTAGGGTTGGCAAAACAGGCCCACTCGGTCCGGCCCGGCCCAACCCGCATTCAACCCGAAAAAAATGAGTCGGGTTAGGGTTGGCTCGAAAAAAAATGAGCCAGAAAACCCAACCCAACTCGGGTAGGTTGGCTTGCTGGCTGGCTCAAAAATATGGCTCGTGAGTTGGCTTGAAAAAATAGCTCGCGAGTTGGCTCGAAAATTGGCTTGCGGGTTGGCTCGAAAGTTGTTCGCGGGTTTGCTCATTTTCAGCCTATTTAAATGACCCTGTAGTATTAATGCACCAGCTATGTGGTTTCCATCAGCTTAAACAAAAGGTTACAAAATGAGAAATAAAAGCAAAATATTTTAGTTTCGAATTTTTTTCACAACAAATTTGCATCAACATCAAGAAACAATCGGAACCATTTGCTACTAAATGGGTAAGATATTAGAACCAAACAGAGCCAGCACAACCTAATAATATAAAAATGGGAGAAGATTAGGGACTTAGGTTTAGAGAAGGAAGAAAAATGATAACAATATGTGTGGGTTTTGTCCAATTTTGTATATTATATTTTTTATTAAAAAAAAAAACTCAATCCGCAAGCTGGCTCGTTTGATCCGCGAGTTTGCTCATTTTTTCACGAGCTGATTCGGGTCGGGTTGACAGCTCATTTTTGCCAACCTAACCCGACTCATTTTTGGCGGATCGGGTTGACTCGTTTTTGTCAACCCTACTCTTAGTGGACTAAAAGTTGGACCCACAGGTTTGTATGGATGTGCCACCACGAGCACTTTTTATGTACTACTGATGTACATACATCATTTTCAAAATTAAAAAACTCTCAAAGACTTAAAAGGAAAAATATAATTAAAGGGTGATAGTTCAATTGGTAATATGAGAGTTGAGTAAATAAAAAGAAAAGAGTTTCAGTTTGATTCTTATATACTATATTTAAGAGAGATTTAAATATCTTCATCTGTGATCGGTCCTGCACTCCAAATTAGTCACATAACCTACTCAAAAAGTCAAAACTTACGAGAATATCAGAGAAAGTCAACTCACGTAAAAAATAATTAGCGTTGAGTTAAATCTAAAAAAACACAAAAAAAAAAATATGAATTGAAATGATATAAAAATTTTCTAATAAGGAAAAATGAAAATACTGAATTCAATACTTCTGCCGTATAAAATAAAATCTGCCACAAGTAGCAGGCCCACGTGACCTTGAGAGCCATGATGGATGGATATTTTTGACCATGAACTCCGTTAATCTCTTTTTGTGTTTGGACAGACATGTTGCAAATAGCAGACATGCGTCACTCTAAACGGTCATGATTACACCAAGTTATTATATGGGTAGTAATTTTAGGAGATAATTATTATCTTTTATAAACTCATTTATACAGGTAAGATTCACTTTTAAAAAGAAAAAAAAAAAAATAGACTAAGACCCATCTTAAATTTGTGTATAGGAAATAAATTCTTTTTTATGTAACATGATAATAATAAATTTCTTATTATATTAAATATTTTAATTCTGTCATTTTCTATGAAAAACACTCTTGTGCAATGTGTTCACACATAGCAGTGTCACAGATTTTGGTGTAACGTTGGCTCTCACTTCCATCGGTCATCAATGTTTCATTTCTAGAAGCTAGGTATACTGCAGTAATCATTTTACAAAAGTGGCTCTGTAGCCGTCGCCCGTCACCAATAGTTGTTACATGATTAATTAATTATTTGTCGAGCTTTTCAAATTACATAAATAAATTTTATTAATCTCATGTTATAAGGAAGTATAAATTTTTTTTATCATAAATATAATTATAAGTGGAGCCCATTCATTTATAAAAAATAAAAATAAAAATAAAAATAAAATTAAAATTGTTACAAAATTCGACGGGTATGCAAAAAAATAAAAAATAAAATTACCTTCCAACAATGTAAGAATAGTTTTTCCATGCATAAATATATACCAACGTTTCGTTGTTCAAGACTAGCTTATCGACTTATTAAATAATATGACAACATATAATTAAATTAAAATTTTAATTATTAAAAAAATTAAAATGTGGATTCTAACAATATAAAAGTGATTGTCATAAAAGTGATTTTTTAAAAAAAAA